CTTGGGTTACTAAGGGATATTCAGAGGAGAGGAGATTGATGAATCAATCCCATTTGGCAATCCTTAAAAGCATAGACGTTACAAAGAGAGTAGTAGCCAGAATGGTTGGTTGCACCTCTATAGCTCACCAAATTACGCTTTCCAACAGCTCAAACATTACCCAATTGACTAAAAACTGGCTCAAAGGAAACAAACTTAGCTATCACTCTCAGGAGCTCTAGAGTCCACAAGGCAAAGATATTTTTGATGAGTTAAAAAAATGGTCTTTTTCTGTTTTTTTGGTTCTTCTCAATATATGGAAATTTGTTTTTTGAACCACATGCAAATTAAACGATGGTAACCACAGATGTGAGTAAAATTATTTTGATATGTAACAATGAATTACCTTTTGCCTAAAGGCGGTTCTAAAAAAAATTATTATGTTGGGATGTTGGAATATACTTCAAAGTCAAAGGGAAATTAGCATTACTTGAAAAAAAAACTTGTGGTATGTATTCTGGATAGGGAACTTTATGATTATGATTTGTAATGAGTTATTTTTTTCTACTGAATCATTTTTCTATTTTGGAATGATTGTTGTATTCATAGGTGTATTAAGTAGGATACTCTAAATGACATAGACAAGTACTTCAATTATTTGTCTTTTTTATTACTTTAGTTTTTCATGAGAGAGAAAATTAATGTGGGAATCTCTTTATTTTGTTGTTTTGCGGTAATCTAAAGTGACATTGCTGATAGGATATGAGTCCAAATGGCAGTTTAGGTGATTTCGAAGATAGGTAATGGTTATTTCACAATTAATAGTTTTTGTTTTTGCACGAAAATGGGACGCAATTTCAGCAACATGAGTTTTTTTTTTTCATTGACGGGCTGTAGAGAAGCAAGAGCTAGGAAGAACAAGTACATGATCTTTGATGGTGATAGTTACTGTGTGGGATGAGTACATTGAGTAAGTATTTTAGTACAATCTTGGGCCACTTAATTTAGTTATAGAATTTGATGCTATTGAGGTGATTTCATGAATTTCAAACCAAATTTACTAATCCACAGCCATTGGGGCATACTTGCCAACACCAGACCTGTAAAACTATTCCTTGTGATCCTAATAGATATTCTTCATTTCCTTTCCACAACAAACATGTGGTTGACCAAACGCCAATTATTATTTGCATATTTATCAATGGGTTCTCTCTGGGTCTTTCTGCAGGTGAGGTCTGCTACTCTGGACACATGGCTTCCTGAATAGGGAGCATTTATTCAATGTAAGCTTGCCTTCAAGTATCCCAGTTCAATTTTTTTTTTTTTTTTGCTTGATTTTGTTCCAATGCTATAAAAAGAGAATTTGAATTTGGTTTTTCTTCCCCCTATACAGCTATGGGAAATGAGAAGTCAAATAGTTATTGGGAAGCTGAGTTACCCCCTAATTACGACAGAGTTGGGATTGAGAATTTCATACGCACAAAGTATGCATTTCTTTACTTTTATTAACCATTCTCCTTTGTAAAGCACAGTGCACCATTGTTGTCTGGTTCGTCAATTGCTCGTAGTCTTAAGTATACATATTTTTTATATTTTAAAGGTATGAAGAGAAGAGATGGGTTCCTAAGGATGGCAAGCCAATGTCACCTTCTAGAGTAATAGAAGAAAAGGCTTCTATGCAATGGCAGAGACCTAGTGATAGGAGTGGTCATGGATATGCTAACAATTCTCATTTTAATATTGAGAGGGGTTGGAATCATAATTCCAAGTATGAAAAGAAAAAAAAATAAAAATAAATACATAATAAATGGTTGTCTTACTAATGTAATTGGATAACTAATCATACACTAACTCATGGGATTATTAATCATTTCACTAGTAATCTTATTAATCAAACAAGGCCTAAGAGTAATATCTATTTATACTCACTATATAGAAATAAAATTATATCGGAAGAAATAATTTTAATATAAATAGAATTCCAGTCAATGAAGCTTGAAACGAAACATGCCTACAGTAAACAAACGAAATTAGCCAGTTTGATAAAAATGAATTCTTGTGGCTCATAAGCAACCAACACACTCAGCCCCTTCCTTTGCAGTATCAAACTCAATTACTTTTAGTGAAGAGAATGCAAGAATGCATTTTCAATGGCTCATTTTTTTGTGGCACTAACTGTATAAACACCCACAGAGAGTTTCTATGAAGACACCAATGGAAAATTACTACCAGAAATTAAAAATTAAAAAAAAAAAACGCTTATTTTCTACTCAACAATGCATAGCAAGGAGAGAACACTAGATGAAGTTTATCATGTAGACACCCGTGGATTTGCGTAAAGTTCTCTCCAATAAGCTTACAATATAACTATCGCTTTTTTCTTGTTCTTTTTCTTTTTCTTTTTCTTTTTTTGTATAAAAGTAGGATGATGAGTCGAGTTTCTGTAATTTCCCTGCAATGTTTATATATGACTTTAGATCTGCAATTTAGGAACCATATTGAGGAAAAATGATTACCATATCCTTCAAATCTTCACATTTATTATCCTTTTCATTTCTCTAATGCAGCAATTATACTATGGGGAAAAATGCTTCCATTAGCAGCGCGGCACCTGCTGGAACAAGCAGAACAATGCCATCAGCATCCCCTATCCCATCTGCAGCTCCTCCTACACAGTCGGCGAAAGAGTATGATTTCTCTTCATTAACACAAGGGTTCTTCTCAAAATCCTGAGATGCCACTGGGAAAGCGACTCTGGCTTTTCAGCTAAAGCATGCCAAATGAATATATTTCAGGAAAGCTAGCATTTTGGAGGTTACTTTTTGCATTGGAGGTTGTAAACTATTTGTAGAGGAGGTGGTGGTTTTTTTTTTTTTTCGCTCCTATTTTCATTTTCCTCATCTTTTGATTTTCCCCTTTTTCTATTCTGGGTGGTGGCTTTGTTTGTACGATTAGGTGTATGCAGAGAAACAAATCGGGTTTAGATTGATTGATATTTGATAATAATTTTTTCCACATCTTTTTTAAGATGAATTATGATTATAGAGAAAATATGAAATTATATATTTGGAAATGAGATAATCTGCTGTTTTAGAATGGAAAATTTGAATTACTAGGTGCATTTGTGTTTGGTTACTAGTTGTCTCCTAGCAAAATCTAGTTTTCATGCTTATTCACTCCATTCTCATTGGAATATGAAGCGCCTGTTGTTATCTACCCTTAACCTGGTTTTGCAAAAGAGTTTGTTGATCATATGAACATTAGTGCTTAAGCTGCAAATTTAATCTTCTTGTCTTTTCATTCATGTGTGTTTATTATCCTCTTAGTGCCTCTATGTAGTTTCTTTGGGTTAGTAACACAAAGTAGTTTAACATCTCCATTAGACCTCTCTTTTCTTTCTAAGTCAATACAAGGGTTTGCATTGCCATATTTTGAGCTGGCCTAGGCCTAATTCAAGGGTCAGCCCTACCCATCATCTGGGATACAGTTGAATTGTAGTGCAACTGAGTAGCTTAGGAGTTTTTAATTTTTAATTTTTTATTAACGGAGTATATACAGGGCTTTGTCCTCTCAACTAGTTTTTTTTTGGTTTATACAATCTCTTTGTTACACAAGTAATTATTGGATACAAGTCCTCGGTTTTTTTTTGGTTCATACATTCTCTTTGTTACACAAGTAATTATGGGATACAAGTCAGGGAGGTGACCTTGAAGTGGGGTTGGTGTTGTGCTTTACAAGTGTTCTGTGTGGGTGTGTCCCAAATCTATTTCGATAATCTGAACAATTCGTAATGCAGGATTCGTCGAGTAAATTATTCATAAAAAAAATCAAATTAATTGGATATTTGTAACCCATAATAAAATCACATTTATTTTTTTAAAAAAATAAATAGTCAATAATTTTTTAAAAATAGCAAGGGCCTAATCATGGACGACCACACATGTCTAATTAACCTCATTTTTTTAATGAATGGCATGCTTGACAAATATTATAACATGAACGATTCAGATTATCAAAATAAGTTCAGGACAAATCCTGCCAATAGGGTTAAAGCACGTTTGAGATTCGAACTCGAAATTTATGCTTTCTAAATGACTTATCAAATATAACTTGCCCAAATATGCAAATTCATATTTTCAGGGGAAAAAAATTAAACTATTTTTTCAACCTATACATTGTATTGTACACAAATAACAAATATTTCATCTCTGTACATGTCATTTCTATGCAGCATTATATATCCCAAACAATTACACAAAGATTTGAGCATATCTATCACCCCTACCCTTGTCGTTTGTCTTAGCATGCTTTCCCATGAATATCAAGTTACCGAAGCAATGAAAAGCAGATACAAAGTAATAATTACGGACACTTGCATGTTTTCCATTCTTGTGTCGTCAAGCCATTGTCACTGGGAAAAGTCGGTCCAACAGAGTATAAATACCACCGCCTAAGAGGAGAGCACCACTACAAAACATGAAATACATACGTCCATGAGTGACAACTACACTCCAAGGAACAGAATTGTCAACATCCGACCACTAATGAAGATGAACATTGAAGAGTATATGCAAAAAAGGAACCTCAAGCACAACTTATCCTAATGCTAAAAAATAGGGAGAAAACACCTCATTGGGTTGATCCATGCTGAGAATTTGCGGAATGAAAGTAGGCTCTGCAGACAATTTGTGTTAGAAATTGCCCAGGATACAAACAAACAATAAAAATTAGACAAACAAAAAGTGTAGGAGTAAGAATGAAGCAAAGTGGCAAACAGTTTATCAGTGATGACACGGATTTGGCCTCCACCTACAGATGGTAGGAAGATCTGGGCATAGTCCCAGTGTCTCCCTAATAGGCCCTGCCAAATCATTGGCTAAGTACACTAAGCCATTGGAACAATCATAATTTTGGCCCGGGCCCACGATGCACTATCTATAAATACCTCGGAAAGGAGGGGAAAAGCAACAGTAAGTTATGCACATCAAGAGTTCACATACAAGATTTTATCGAGTGAAAAAAGAGTATACCTGCAATGCTGCTGCAAAAGAAACAGCTAGAAGTAGAGGAGCAACATAGCCAGTTGTGTATGTCAACAGTAAGCTGCCCCCTATTACTAGATCCTGTTAGGAGTTTCACATTAGTTATTTGTTTATGATTGCATTTTTTGTCTCAATATTAGAACTGAGGATTGAATTAAATAATCAACCAGTAAGCATTATGCAAACTATCAACTTAAAAGATGGATCTAGGGGTGGGCCTATGTTTGGATGAAGGGGGGCCATGGCCCCCTCCTAGGTCTGAAAATTTCTCTTGGGTAGACTTCTTACAAACTGGGTTTCCTATAAAATAACAAATATTGGCCCCACCAATATTGTGCCAATTTTGCTCCCTCAACTGTGAATGTTAAGATAAATGCAGTCTACTAAGTTGACCTATTTGTTATGTAATTAAATAATAGGTTTAGAAGCTCAAATGCAATGCATAGCATATATGATGCATCCAAACAAGAGAGATAGAGATAAGAGTGCTAAGCCATCATTATAGGCCCAGAACAATCAGTATAAAGTCTGAAAAGGTAATAATTCAAATGGAAATTGATATCAATAAACATTTAAAAGTACCTTGGATGCAGCTACGTATCCAAGCAGGGTTGCCAGCACAGGAGTGCTGCAAGGTGAAGCGGCTAATGCAAATGTCAGCCCAGCCAAATATGCTTGCACACCTGACATGTCAAATTTTTTAAAATGTTAGTTGCACTTTCAAGCTGTAAGCACATCTAAGAGCCAGCTAAACCCCAGTGATGAATACTTGAGAAGCTGATGGTAAAATTAGAAAGTCCATTACCTGAAGGGAAATTAGCAGCAGCAACACGAGGATCAAAGTTGTTGAAAAATGAAGGAAGCTGTAACTCAATTATCTGCAATATCGGCCAGCAAGACCATGGAAAAAGAGGGATATTAGCCAGGAATAAATAGATAAAAACAATATCTATCTACAACTTAAGTGATTATGTTTAGACATACTTAAGTATGCCATGCTAACGGAAACCAATTGGGTCAAATAGATAACATGGCTCGAGTTTTATGTAAGCTGAAAACTTAAACATGAATACACAGCCAAACCAAAGTCTATGCTTTTGGAAGAGCCACCTTCTGAAAATCAATCAAATAAGGTGGTAATGCGTAGGTTTAGGTTTAGCTACCTTCGAAAGAACATGGTATAAAACATCGTAAGAGGAGAGGAAGAAGAATGTGAAGAAAAAGGATTGTTTACTCATGTAGTTCCTATATTTTCTAGATTGGTTACTCCAGTTAGACTAAGACTGATTTACCGTTGGCAACTTTGTGGTTATCATTATTGCAAATTATTACATTTTCCCTTTTTTGTTCAAAAAACTTGCAGTTGTTTGGTACAGAACTATCACGATGAAAGTAACATATAGAAAAATCTCTGTCATAGAGTGGGCCTTAAATCAAAGCAAAGAACAACAAATTCTTTGCAGAAGAGAGATTAAAAAAAAGTAATGAAAATAAGTACAGAAGATGTAGAATGAGATTATTGAGCAATAATAGCATTGATACATAACAGCTTAGTGGTCATAATGGAAGTAAACATAACAGCTCAGTGACAAATATGGAAACATTTCTAAGAGAATGGAAGTATTGTTGCTTGCTCAAAATATAAGGTAAACTTCTTTCTTCGTAGTTAAGGAAAAAATATGAGGTAAACATATCACTCAAATTACTCAATTATAACAATGCCAAAAATTCGTATGGAAATATTGTTATTACTATTTAGGATTTGAAAGAATTTTGCGTGGTCTTGTATACCAATACAATTGTGGCCCCTTTACACAGCCTTAGGATTGCTAAATGACAGATCTAAAATCCATTTAGCAACAAATCTAACACCAAAATGGAAACAACAATACTTGCATCCACTTACTACAACTCATACAACATTAAATCTCATTAGACATGTTGTCGTTCCATGTAACACCTATTCAAACGAGGGACACAGTGTAGTTCTTATCCATTCTTCAAGCCAAATAAGTAGGCATTTACAAACAATTTCCTAGCCCATGTCATCTAAGAGATTCAGTTTTAACTGAATCGTTAAGCTCTCTCTCTTCTGGTAACCTAATTCAAAAGAAATTCTAATCACAGAATTGAATAAAGTTACATACACAAAATTTCCTAAAAATCCAGAATGTATTTCCTTATGATAAATAGTAACTAAGTAGCGTGACAGACTAATTTTCCAATTGCAAATTATTCCTTTTTGTGCTCAAGACATATTTCATTATAGAAGCCTTCCATATCTCCTATACACAATCTTGTGGAAGTAAAAATCAAGGACCATGAAGAACTCCAACACAATTGTAACCATTTAAAAGATTACTTGTTCAGATAGACATGAACTGAAATTTAAAATAATGAGCCTGTTAATGCATATCAATATTATGAACTGAAAAAAGGATACAATAGGGATGGCTTTATTCTATAATGATTTTGTCATTTCAATTTGCTTGTTTAGAAAGTACATATATCACAAAAAGAGTTGTAATTGAGAGGATTAGAGTGTAGGATTAATAATTGGAATCACATCACAGGCTATCTTCGGAAAAGATTGATATCGATAAGTCAAAAAATAAAAATAAAATAAAAACCAGAATATTTACCTGTATGGCAAGTTCCCTAGTTGGGCAGATGACAATTACCTTTGTTCGGATTTGATGTAACTTCTCCACAGCAGGTATCAGAAAAGCAAGGGTCTTTCCAGAACCTGTCCTTGCAGCTCCAAGAATATATTTGCCTTCCAAAAGTGGCGGAATAGATCTGGCTTGGATCTGCAATTGGAATCAGACAACACAGGTTATACCTACTTAATAGCATTAATAGAGTTGAAAACTGAAACACATTGTTTGAGGCAAGATTACGCCGCAGCCATTTCAGCAACCTTTTTGACACTTGAGTTGTGTAGATTCTTCATCTCATCAGCACTCCCGTCAGCTCCAGTCTCTATTTTCTTTCCATTTTCTGATGCTGTGGCACTTCCATCAATTTTAGAACTTGAACTGAAAATTAGTTGCACCTGTTTTAGCTTTCTGTCATAAAAAGACTTCTATTCAGATAATTGCTTCGCTTTTCTTTGGTTAAATAACAAAGCATAGTGGTTGGACAAAGACTCCAATTCCTGCAAATGATAGCAATTTAGAATCTTCAGCCAGAACTATCATTCCAGATGGCATTGAATTGAAAGACATTCAACCAAGAAGATAAAGAAGGTGATCTCCAACTGTTCTGGACCTTCGTATATGTAGAAGCATCTATCAAATGTCACTTCTTCAAACAATTGATCCTCATCATCTTGTGCTTGCGCTCCCTTCTTATGAACTTCAATACCAGTTTTTGTAATCAAAAGATCCATGGTCTCCTTGCCTACAAGCTCAAGCACTTGCATTCGCTTTGCAGTAAAAGCTTTTCCACTCTATAAAATAATGGCACAGACATAAGTGATGCACTAATTAAATTTTCAGAAATAAACAATCCTCTCTACCGGAGCATCAAGATACATGAAGCTTTCCTCTATAACTGAGGCACTATTTAAAATAACAAGCACATAATCAAAACAACAATATCATGTGTGTGTGCATGTATATGTATATCCATCTATGTACAAGTAAATTATATATCACAATTAAATGCTGCATGAGGAAAGCACGTGGGAAGAGATACACACCAGATTTCAGCACCAACACCATGTTGAGGGCACCCTTCTTCAACTGTCACCAGTCTACTTGTGTTCTGAACTGAAGCATTGATTGTGGCCGTATCTAGTGGCCTAATTGAGCGAAGATTTATAACCTGTTTAAACAGTAAACCAACACTACCATATTTAAAACTGATACTTGAATGATTTTAGGTCTTACACCAACACTACCATATTCATTTAATGTATTTTATACCTCAGCACTGATCCCTTCATTCGCAAGAATCTCAGCTTACATTTAAAAGGGGGGCACAAAATTTACTAACTGTAACCAAAGGCAATATAAACGAGAATTTGAAAGATATGCAATGTCAACAAACAACAATGATCAGTAATGTTCTCATCGAAGACTAACAGACAAAGATTTGACAAAACCAACACAGATAAAACTATTAGAAGACCAACAGACAAAGATAAATCAATTATGTCAATATATTTTCATGCGCAAACACAGATAAAACTTAGACAACCAAAGCGGCAAATAATGACAAAATACCACTGCCAGCACCAACATCCACAACCATAACACGACCAACAAAATCAGTGCAATTCTCAATGACTGCAGCATAATAAGTTCCTAAAACAAGCATGTTTATCATGTCACTCACACATGCACCTTGTGATCTGTAACTACTCAGTATAGGCATGCATTTCTTTACAATTAAGGAAAAACAAAAAATTTGACAAGATACAAAGCATTTTACCAGCAGCACAATGGCGCATATGCCTTTAACAAAGAATTTTTAATTACAAAAACAGAAGGCGAACACCTACAACAAGATCAGGAAGCAACAAATCAAAGCTCAGTGATATAACCTGTCCTCACATAATCCTATAGCATATTTTGCTGATGTAGCAATTGCCCATAGTAATGAAAATACCTTTTGGCAAAACTAATGATAAAATACAACATGAATTTCTAAAAGGACTAAACCAATATTGCGTTATACTATCTTCCCTTCCCTTTTCTTTCATTATTTTTATTTTTTAAAGTTTTTTCCATCGCCAAAGTTGTCATAGTCTCATAGAGCAAAGGTGGTTTGCAGACTTGGCACAAAATGGACAAATAATATGAAGTCAATTGTATTGATAAGAATATGTAGTCAATGATGCAACCAACAAATTGATTATAGAAATAAATATCATGAGGATGAGACCATTCATTGGAATCTTGTATGCGGTGAAAATAGACATCAATCATTTTAACAGTTCGAGAAAACCACTGCAGTCATCTCAAATAGTGCAAAGACACACAACACCTTAATTCAATTTCTTGGCAATGCCTAAGACTCCAGTCAAAAATTGCTCCCCGAGGGTCCCTCCGTTCAAGATAAAAGAAATTTTACATAACCACAGTTGAAGTAGCCAAAGGGGCAAAACTTGCAGAAGGTGTGGAAAAATCGAGAAATGGTGGAGGTCATGGATCAAATAATCTATTGCTTCTTGTAGTGAAGTAAGGAAAATAAGTTAAAAACCCAAGCACAGCATGCTGTCTTTTACTACAAAAATATTAGAGACTGTCCCAGAGTGAAACAAAAATAGGAAAAAAAATATATTAAACAAAGGCCACCTGAAAAACATGAGTCAAACAATGTAGAATCATAACACAAGTCCTTTTTGTTATGGGGAAGTTGGTTGTGACATCCGTAGAGTGGTTCGTGGGCCGTTTCGCATTTTCACCCACCTAACGCCCTTTTTCGGTTAAGTTTAAGGCATTTTCGGCTCTAACTCCCAACCTATGCGTACTAATTACATTTCGTCGATTGTCACAGGTCGTATTTGTCATGGAGAAGCTGGCTGTGACATCCATACTGTGGTTCGGCGGCTGTTTCGCATTTTCGCCCCCTTAACGCCCCTTTTCAGTTAAGTTTATGGTGTTTTCAGCTCTAACTCCCAAACTCCACATGCTAATTACATTCTGTCTGTTGTCACAGGCCCTATTTTCCATGGGGAAGCTGGTTGTGACATCTGTACGATGGTTCAGAGGCTATTTTACATTTTTGCCCCATTAACGCCCTTTTTCAGTTAAGTTTATGACGTTTTTGACTCTATCTCCCAACCTACACGTACATTCCGTCTATTGTCAAAGGTCCTATTTGTCGTGACGAAGCTAGTTGTGACATCCGTATGGTGGTTCGGGGGCTGTTTTGCTTTTTCGCCTCGTTAACGCCCCTTTTCGATTAACCGTAAGATGTTTTCAGCTCTAATTCCCAACCTACGCGCCCGAATTACATTCTGTCTATTGTCACAGGTCCTATTTGTCATGGGGAAGCTGGCTGTGACATTGGTATGGTGGTTCGGGGGTTGTTTCGCTGTTTCGCCCCCTTAATGCCTTTTTTCAGTTAAGATTTAAGGCATTTTCGGTTGTAAGTCCCAACCTACACGTGATAATTGTATTTCGTCTGTTATTACAGGTCCTATTGGTGGTTCGGGGGCAGTTTGGGAATTGGGCTAGTTTTGATATATGGGTGATGCGTTGGCTTAGAAAATTCAAATATTTTAAAAGGCTTATATGCATGCCAGATTTAAAGTACAGACAACAAAATTAATTAGTTGCCTTAGCCAGACAGTCCGACAAAAGATTTTAATTAGACATGAATTTTCCAAAAAATCTTATTTTAGTTAAACCCTTAATTGAATATAACATAGCAATATATGTTCAACCACTATTAACTAACAAAAAGTATGCTAGAGCATTATCAACTGAATATCATACCAAATTGAGGGTTTCCTTCTTCTTGTGGAGAAACTGAAGAGTGTTTAAGCATGAGCGTATATGACACTTTGTAAATAGAAGCATACAAGGATATCAAGGCCATAAAACTCAAAAACATTCTGCAGCACAACGCCATAAAGAATATTAGAAGCCTCTAAAGAATTCATCAAGATTACTTGACGTCCAAAGTGGTTTTAGCCAACATAAATGCTTATCATAAGTAATAGCACATGACTAAATCTGATGTGAGTTTTTTAAAAGAGAGTTGAGTAAAGGTTAACAAAAATGTGTGTTATTCTAATTGTTTGCTAACTTGTGCAACAGCTTGAGGAGCTCTAACGCAGATTTTGAGGGTTGAGTGTTGTGAGAAACATACTTGAATTTCTCCAAAGATTTGAGTGTATATTCTATGGGTTGAGTGCAGTCAGCCAATATATGAGCTGTTCACTAATCTCTATTTTTCTAGATAGCCATCTGAATCTGCATTTGCCCCTTGCAATGTGAACCCTAGCACTATGTTGCAGTTTAGCTATGAGACTACAAAAGGTTGATCCCTTTATCTACATTAAGGTAACAATTACTGGAGAGCTCAGAGCTGGGTATTAACAAAATAGTGCTCAGAGCTGGGTATTAACAAAATAGTGATCATTACAATCCATTAACAACTGGAGCTTCCAAACACAACATGAAAAAGATTCTTCATTAATGCTATATATTTAGCAGATCCAATGAGCTAATACCATAAGTTCTACAATCACCTTTTTATCTAAGAAACAGAAGGACAAAACAAAGAGCAGATCAATGACTTGTAATATTGAAACTGCTGAGGTAGAAAAACATCTTGAAAATCAATTCCAAGTCCTATTTGTCAAGGGGAAAATCAATTCCAAGTCCTATTTTACAAATCTAATTCCCATATTAACATATCAAACAAAAAAATAAGACAATCAATGAATGAAAATGATCACAAAAATGATTAATATAGCTAAATCTGAGCTCAATCTGTGTTAAAACAACAAAAATGAGACCCAAAAACCCGAGAATGAATCAAACCCAAATCTGAAACAATCGATCAATCACCACAATTCGGAATTGAAGCAAACCCAGATCTAAAAGAGAGAAGAAGATATCAAACCTGATCGAATTGGAGCCAAGAAGTTACCCAAGTCCAGATCTGTTGATGTTTTCGGGTAGAGAGAGAGGAACGAAAATTGCGAAGACCTCCTACAATCGAATCAAACTGTATTTGTGTTGTTCAAATAATGGCAATGTGTGAGAGAAAAGGCGTTTGGGAGGGCTTGGTGTTTCTCTCTCTAGAATTCCGGAGAGAGACGAAGCATTTGGGAGGGCGATCGGCAGAGAGAGACAGACCGAGATCGACGGAGATCGACAGAGAGAGAGAGAGACGGAGATCGACAGAGAAGAGACGGAGATCGACAGAGAGAGAAAGAGAGGCGGAGATCGACAGAGAAGAGACGACAGATCAATAGATCGACAGACCAAGATCAAGATCGACAGAGCCGGAGACCAAGATCGACAGATTTTCTGAAAATTACACCTTCTCTGAAATAATTTTTTTATAAAATTTACACTTTTAGTGGAACTTACAATGAAAACAAAACATAAGCTACTTGTATCTATTGTGAAATAATTTACACAATTTTTGAAAAATTATTCCTTTTGTGATATAATTTCTTTTATAAAATTTATACATTTTGTTAAAATTTACACTTTTTTTTGAAAATGTACACATTTTCGTTGAAATAGTTACACATTTTTTCAGAAAAGGTGTATGTTCATAAAAGGAATAATTTTCAGAAAAGGTGTATGTTCATAAAAAGAATCACTATGTTTGGTTCCATTTTTCTAAAAACAGTTTTCAGAAAATTTTACTTTCTTATTTTTCGTATTTTTTTGTTTTTATTGAATTTTTTTAATATTTTATGTAATTTTTTTACTTTTTAGACACACCTAACATAAATACACCTAAAAAGAAAAAAAATTTTAAAAAAATCTTTTAAAAATTCACTAAATACCATAAATACAAAAAAAATACAAGAATTCAGTACATGTTTTGTATTTTTATGTATTTCTTAATTTTTTAAAATATTTTTTTACATTTTTTTACTTTTTAGATACATCTAAGTAAGGTGCATCTAAAAAAGTAAAAAAAAATGTTTAAAATTTAAAAATATTTACTAAAAACAAAAAAACACGAAAATCAAAAAACTCAATTTTCAAAAAACTTAATCCAGAAAACTCAAACCAAACACACTGAATAATTTTCTAGAAAGTTACTCTTTTTGTAAAATAATTTTTTTTATAAATTTTACACCTTTTTTGTGAAAACGAAACTTACACATTTTGTGAAGCTACTTACATCTTTTTTTAAATAACTTACACTATTTTTGAAAAGTTACACCTTTTGTGAAATAATTTTTGTCATAAGATTTATACTTTTTCTTGAAACTTACACCTTTTATGAAAGCTAAACTTAAACTTTTTTCTGAAGTCACTTACATCTTTTGTGAAAAAAAAAATTCATAAAATTTATATCTTTTGCTAAAATTTACACCTTTTCGTGGAAGTGTTTATATCTTTTCTGAAAAGTTACTTCTTTTGTGAAATAATTCTTGTCATAAGATTTATACTTTTCTTCAAACTTACACCTTTTGTGAAAAGCCAAACTTAAACCTTTTTGTGAAGTCACTTATATCTTTTGTGAAAAAAAAAAATTCATATAATTTATATCTTTTGCTAGAATTTACACCTTTTCGTGGAAGTACTTATATTTTTTCTTAAAAGTTACTCTTTTTGTGAAATAATTTTTGTTATAAAATTTATACTTTTTCTTCAAACTTACACCTTTTGTGAAAAACCCAACTCAAACCTTTTTGTGAAGTCACTTATATCTTTTGTGAAAAAAAAAATTCATAAAATTTATATCTTTTGTTAGAATTTACACCTTTTCGTGGAAGTACATATATTTTTTCTGAAAAGTTACTCCTTTTGTGAAATAATTTTTGTCATAAGATTTATACTTTTTCCTCAAACTTACACCTTTTGTGAAAAGCCCAACTTAAACCTTTTTGTGAAATCACTTATATCTTTTGTGGAAAAAAAAATTCATAAAATTTATATCTTTTGCTAAAAGTTACACTTTTTCGTGGAAGTGTTTATATTTTTTCTGAAAAGTTACTCTTTTTGTGAAATAATTTTTGTCATAAGATTTATACTTTTTCTTCAAACTTACACCTTTTGTGAAAAGCCCAACTTAAACCTTTTTGTGAAGTCACTTATTATTTCACAAAATGAGTAACTTTTCAGAAAAAATATAAGTACTTCCACGAAAAGGTGTAGCTTTTAGCAAAAGATATAAATTTTATGAATTTTTTTTTTCACAAAAAATATAAGTGACTTCACAAAAAGGTTTAAGTTGGGCATTGCACAAAATGTGTAAGTTTGAAGAAAGAGTATAAATCTTATGACAAAAATTATTTCACAAAATGAGTAACTTTTCAGAAATGGTGTAAGTATTTTTACAAAAAGGTGTAAGTTTTAGCAAAATGTGTAAATTTTATGATTTTTTTTTTCCCACAAAATAGGTAAGTGCTTTCAGAAAAAGGTTTCAGTTGGGCTTTCACAAAAGGTGTAAGTGTGAAGAAAAAGTATAAATCTTATGACAAAAATTATTTCACAAAATGAGTAACTTTTCAGAAACGGTGTAAGTATTTTTACGAAAATGTGTAAGTTTTATGAAAGAAATTTTATCACATATGGTGTAACTTTTTAGAAAATGTGTGACTTATTTCACAAAAGATGTAAGTATTATGTATAAGTTTTCATTTATAGACACCTTTGGTAAGTAAACTCACAAAAGGAGTAAGTGTTCACAAAATACGTAAATAATTTCACAGAAGGCGTAAGTTTTCAGAAAAATGTATAAGTTTTCAGAAAAAGTGTAAGTTTTCACAAAAGGCGTAAATTTTCACAAAAAGCGTAAGTTTTCAGAAATCAGTTACGTCTTTTTCTGAAATTGCTTACGCCTTTCGTGAAAATATACGCCTTTTGTGAAAACTTATACATTTTTTGTGACCATTTACACCTTTAGTCATATAATATATTATTTTATTAATTTACCTGAAAAGTGACTCGCTTAGCCGGTCACCAATGTGTAAGTTTTCAAATATTTTGATATAACCCAATACATACAAATGTGTAAATGCAAAATAGAAGAGTGTAAGTGCCTTGCATACCATATGCAAGACACACTTAAGAAAAGTCATGTGAAATATGGTTTAGTGAGAAGTTTGATTGGTTTTGGACAATACTTTATTTTTAATTTTACCCTTTAATTTATCTCTTAATTTTTTTTTTCTCCTCCTCTACAGAGACCCTACGGAAGTTTTATTATTTCTTTATTCTTCTCCTCTATGGAAGATAGAATTCTTACCCCTACAAAAGTTTATTATCTCTTTACAAGGTCCGTTGCTACCTTTGCACAAGATTAATCCGATTTTTTATCAATTTTATAATAAAAATTTTCTTCTCGATCTTAAAATAAAATAAAAAAATTCTTTATCTGTTCAAAATTTTTGCTTATCTATTCAATTCTTTCTCTATTTATTCAATTTTTTCCTACTTGTTATGTCTATTCAATTTTTTTACCTTATCTGTTTAATTTTTTCCCTTATCTGTATCAATATCTGCTCAATTTTTATTATCTGTTCAATTTTAATCTCTTATCTATTGAAATATCTATTCAAATTTTATTATTTGTTAAATTTTAATCTCTTATCTATTAAAATATCTATCCAAATTTTAATTTGTTGCAATATGTTTCTTCTTCTTCATCATCATCATCATCATCAACAACTCATCATCATCATCATCATCATCATCATCATCAATAGATTTGAGCCAGGGAGAAAAAAAGAAAAACAAACAAATCTGAGCTAACAAAAAAAAAAAAAAAAACCCCTTGGAAGTTTCTAGATCTGGTTTCTCTGGTCTAGATATAGTTCAAGAATGAGCATATGAGCAAGGCAAAGAACTCAGATGAGCACAGATCGGGTGCCTTCCCTCCGACGGAAGATGATGGCGATGCCGTCAGAGTAGGTGGCGGCGGAGTCGGAGTGCTGAGGAGGAAAGCGATGGAGGCTACGTGGTCATGGCTTCTACTCGATGCCACCGGCGGAGCCAAAAACAGATCTGGTAAACGCGAGATTCATGCGATGAGGAGAGACGACCTCGTCGGCGGAGCCAACTCAGATTTGTCAGAGAGGGAGAGAGAAGACTTCTTCACTCCTCCGGTGGCCGGCGCCGACTTCCTGCCGGCCTTGGTGGTGGCAAATTGCTTCCTCGGACCTAGCCTCCGATGGACTTGCGTGCTATTTGCTTTGACGTCAGAGACCGATCACAATCCAACATGACCGAACCAGAACAACCCGACGTCCGAACAAGTAGAGCAGGCTCCGGTGGCCGTGACTTCTGGAACTTCGGCAGTGGTGGTGGTAAGGAAGGAGAAGAGAGAAATTTGGAAACCCTAAAGAGAGAGGAAATGAGGGGAGAGAGAGAGACAGAGAGAGAGACAGAGAAGTGTTTGGTCATTTTACATAGAAAAATGCTTGGGAGCACTAATTAGTGCTCCAACTAATTAGGTGGCAGTGGGTCCTGCCATTAATGATGTGATGTTTTGGTTTTGGAGTTGTGTTTTTTTTTTTTTTTTTTTTTTTTTTTTTTTTAATGCATTAGTGCTATTAGTGGTGATGTTTTTAGTGGGATGAATCATTGTTGTTTTACATAAAAGTTGTCCTTGTGACTTAACGTCTAGACATTCAGATACAGAAAATTTAAAGGGGTTGTTTGGGGAGTGTATTTTTTGACTTTTTAGATTAACAAGTTGAGAAAAAAAAAATTATTATTTGGGATAATTTTTTGATTTTTTATAAAAAAATGTGTATTAAAAAATTGTATAAATTAGTGCATAAAAGAAGATCGCGAGGAATAGGCGGTACGGTGAGATAATTGAGGATAGTGTGGGGGAGTGTACCTGAAATATGATTCTCTATTTTTTGGACATTAAATTAGAGGTGCTGTTTGGTATGTGGGGGCCATCACGGGTCCCGTTTTGCTGATTAAAACCTTTTAATGTGTAGAACTCGTTGACTACTATATGCTTGTAAAAAATCACTTTGATCGGATATCGATAATTATTTGATCAAATTAGTTTTTTTTCAACCGTTAACTATAACACCATCTATTTTATAAATTTTAACTGATTTGATCATATATTTATCGATATTCAATCAACGTGATTTTTTATAAATATATAGTACTCGACGAATTATACACATTGAACGGTTCAGATTATTAAAACGGGAGCCGTGATGGCCCATATGGGCTGAACATCATTGCGTTATTTGTACACCTAAAATTGTGCAATTTTTCTCAAAAGTCACCTCCCCTGTTGGACCCTAGAGCTGTTTGAAATGTAATTATGTGTTAAATTACTTTTTTTTAATAATTCTTTTTTGGTGAATAGTGATAATTTTTTAACTTTTGAAATAATTTTTTAATTTTTTATCTTTTTGAATACATGCCAAACTTGGCCTTAGTTTTATGACTCCAGCGTCAAAATTATTCACATTTTATAACTTAGGCCTCTTTTGGGAACATAATTTTTAGTCACTTTTTTGAGTTTGTAGCAAAAATTAAAAGTTAACTTTTTATATTTAAAGACATTTGAGAAGTTGGTTTTTAGCCATTGGTGAAATTACAATTCTACGCCTCATGGGTCAAAATATGTTACATGAATAAAGTTGTAAATATTGTAAATTGAATGGGAGTAGTTTGGTCATTTCATTGTGATTTGACATCATAAACAAATATTAATTAAAAAAATCAAAAGTAACTTTTTACCGACTTTCCAAATCATTTGTCTAAAAAAATCAAAAATTTAATTAAAAATCAAAAAGTCACTTTTTTTTTATTTTTTCAAAGCACTCCTTAATATTTTACAATTTGGACATTTAGATAAAAAAAAAATCTAAATTTGATTTTATCACTCGAGCGCCATAAAATTATTCACATTTTATGTGGTTTTGTAAATTTATTTATTTATAACTATAATGAGATTTATATAGAGAGAATTTCTTTCATAACTATATGTATGTATAAACTGAGATAAAATGTTAAAATAAATTTGATAACAAATAAATTTTTCTTAAATTAAAGGAAGTGTTATTCATATACTCCATTTTTTTTTAATAATTGAACTCTTTATTCATTTAGTAAGTAGTATTTATGTTGTGCGATGTGTAAATTTCGACATGGACAACAAAATGGGGAGTGCAATCTATCACCGCCACAACAACAACCAAAAAAGAAAAAAAGAAAAGAAAAGTGGAGTGCAACTATAGATTTATCCAAATAAAATTATGTATTTGTGAGCCTATAAAATAAGGGACACAGACATTGATAATTTGGTGATGGATGAATCTCACAGTATCACCTAAGCATCTCTAACTCTTCATTATTTTTTTGTTTAATTAATTTTAAATTTGAATAAAAAATTTTATTTGATATTAACTATTTCAATTTTTTCATCAAAATCTTTTTAAAATTGGGAGATTTACCAATAAATTCCAAATTTTGAACTTATGAACCAGTTGGTCCCATTTTTATTCTACTAAACCGTTTAGTCCCATTCAATTGTGAGGGACGTAATTACCCTCATTTAACCGTTATTGATGTGGCTGTTAGGGGAAAATTGGGTGTGGTACATGTGTGTCTCACGTGCATAATTAGTGAATGGATGTGTGGTGTGTTGCATGTGATACATTGTGAGGGTGTCACAGAATGGCAAAGCGCTGTAAGGGGTTTTTGTTTTGGGCTGGGTTGGTGTGTTTGGGGTTCACACAGGCAGACACACACACATTCACAACACACACTCAAGACCAAAAAACCATCGACAGAGTCAAGATCTTCGATGCCAACCCCGACATCCTCCGCGCCTTCGCCAACTCCGACATCTCCGTCACCGTCACCGTCACCGTCACCGTCGCCAACTCCGACATCCCTGCCATCTCCAAACTCTCCGCCGCCGTGTCCTAGGTGGCTAACAACATCCTCCACTTCTACTCCACCGCCAAAATCTCCCGCATCGCCGTCGGGAACGAAGTCATCGCCACCGCCGACAAAACCCTCATCGCCCACCTCCTCTTCGCCATGAAATCTCTCCACGCCGCCCTCAATCTCGCCGAAATATCCAGCATTCAGGTCTCCACACCTCTTTCACTAGGTATATTATCAATCTTGGACCGGGTCATATTTGCCCCAATCCTTGAATTTCATCGCCAAACAAACACGCCCCTCATGGCCTGCCCATACCTGTTTTTCGGGTTCACATCGAATACTCTGGACTACGCTCTGTTCAAGCCAAACGGCGGCGATTTTGACCACGCTACAGGGATGAACTACACAAACATGTTTGATGCACAGTTGGATGCGATTTACTCAGTAGTGAAAAGGCTAGGGTACGATGACGTGGACGGTGGCGGCGGTGATCACACACACACAGCACACACCAAACCCAGCTCTCTCTTCTCTCGCTAAGAGACACCCAGCGCATAACACACACTGTTACACGCACACACACACACAGTGCTGGCTTCAACACACCCACACACACACACACACAATGATACACACACACACAGCACACACAACGCACACAGTACACACGGAATGAGCAACGTTCCCAAAAAAGGAACTGATCCAGCAAACACAGTCCCACATTAAACCAAGGGCACTCTCGTCCGCACAGTTAAACAAAAATGGAAAAAAAAAAACAAAAAAGACCAAATCAACTCACCAACAGGACTATTTGGTATAATAGAATAAATGTGTGACTATTTGGTATAATAGTTTGTAAAGTAAGATTTATTGGTAAATAATCCTTTAAAATTTATCTCTTATCCTAAATTTTATTTTATTTATTTTTATCAAATTTGATGAAACAAAATTATTTTCAATGCTTCATCTTTTTAAATTTTTATCAATTTAAAATTTGATAAAGACTTTGACGAGTTCTCAATTTGATGAAAAACATGACTCTTTGATTTGATGAATATTTGATAAAAGGATTGAAAATATTTTTTGCACTTTTTCATCAAATTTAAAGGTAAAAAAGTTGAAATGCTCTAACCAAGGTTTATCAACATAATGAATAAAGAGAGAAAAATACAATTTTTAATTGGTGTTCTAACTAAGGTTTTGGCCCAACGGTTGTGCAGCATCACGTGGTGTAAAGTTTGAGGTGAAAAAAAACAAAGATAGATATATCAACCAAACTACTGTTTTTTTTCTTTTGGCCTTACTCAACGTACCATTCTTTCTGGAATTGTTTTTTTCTCACTGAAATTCAACACAATTCGGGCTCTGGAAGTTAGCAACGATAATTCAAAATTGCATCTTTAAAACAACAACTAGTTGCACAGAGCAAAATGATGAACGGCTCCGTGTGGGTGTGGATCAGTAGATATGCTGGAGGCAATTTTCAGCCCTGTAAACACAGATAAATACACATTGAGATATTCCAATCGAGCTATTCAAAGATTATTGTTCAAAAAATGAATCAACAAAAATAAGGGATCTATTTGAAGAATCTAGGAAAGCTATGGTTTTGATGAAGGTGGTTTGGAACATTCTTGCAAAAGGAGATCATTTTCAACAAATATCATCTGTGAAGCCTACAGAGAGCAATTCAATTATCTGAAAAATAACACAAGCCTCAAAAAACAGAATAAAAATAGGGTTTCAGAAAGTATACCATTTTAGTGAAGATAGCAGAAGCAAGGTCAACAAATTGGTAATTGCATCCACAGCTGGGAAGAACTAGATGTTTGAGAATGTGATGCACCACCGATCCATCATGCTTCCCCCCTCCCAAAGCCGGTAATTATTTGTCCCAGAAAATCTATGCTTTCTTGGACAGATCATCTAGCCCAAGCTGTGTAAATGAACCTGCACATCTGGTTTTGAATATATCTCCCCCAATTTTCAGAAATTACATTCATTCATTCCACTAAGAAATAATCAACTACATAAAATTCAGTCAAACAGCAAAAACACGTGAAGCAAATACTTCTCACCAAACTGGACTACATATTCTTTTGAGCTAACAAATTGATTTGATTCCTCATCCTGATCACTTCTTTTCGAATTCAAAATAAATTATGGAACCTTAAGATATTCGGTATGAGCTTCAAGGCCAAGAACAGAACCAACTGACAACACAGTAAATAAAACAACTGCCTCACAAAAGGGAAAAAAAAATAAAAAATGGCCACGTCCAGTTCTTCAAAAGAGGGAAACAAACTTCCCCATAATTCATGTGTCTAATTCAATTTAACTAGAAGTTTCTACACTTTTCTGCAATATGCTCATGAGAGATCCATGTACACCATAAAATCTCAAAAAAATTAAAATATAACGGTAAAATCATAGAGTTAACTTATTCAGAAAGAAAAATTAAAAGCAAAGTAGGTTTGTGCTAAACAGCCAGTGAATCCTTCGCAACAATTACTCGACTGACTGGATAAAAAACAAAAGATCTGCCATTAAGTTTATTATGTACATTTACGCGAAATGAGGTTAAGACCCTAATAAATAACCTATTAACAATCAAAATACACTGGCAAGTTGAGAACAATAAGCCTGTCAGCAATACTTCCTATCCTAGCGTGTTAGCTGGAAATGCATCCGCCCTTGTATGAATGCTTGAATTCAAAGGTTAGCAAGTTATGTTAACCCTCTTCCCATGTACGCACGTGACAGTCGCTTTGAAAGATGCATCGCTCTTGCTTATCTTCAAATTCACTTGCAGATGAACTGTCAATTGATGTAGAAATGTAAGGGGGGAATATGGCATATTAGATTCGCAAGGTCAGCTCAAAGGAGTGTCAGTATCCATACCATTGTCAGCAGTCCTTTTAAGGAAGTTCTGATGCTTTCTCCACACCCATTGAGATATAAGGGGCTATAATGTGGATTGTCTGCTGGAGAGGACCCAATAAATCAATTTCAATGCATTCGTACCTGCAAATAGTCATTATCTGTAAGTGAACTTAACAAACTTACAGGTATGCCTGGAACACATGGAATAATTAAATTAAATTTTATTTCATTTTTTGAATTCAGTTTCTCACTGCATTTAATTTTAGTTCCTCCAAAAATTAATTTTAGTAACTCATTTCAAAATTTTAGAAATGCCCCAATCTCTGTGCTTTGACGTGATCAATTTGGTGATTTTGGCAGTAAAACCATTCACATGAAGGCATCATAAATCCAAATATCATGTTTCCACCTGGTTGGGGGAGGGGCATTGATCCAAGTCAAACTATTATTGCAAATCCATGGAGTTTGCAACTGCCCCATGAGAAAAGTAGGGATACTAAGACTCACAGTTTTCTGCAGAGGTTATCGATGACTTTAGATAGAGCAATGATCTTCATTCTTGTTTCCATAACTTGGTCTTCATCATACTCATCAAATGGATCTTCCAAAAACATAGAGAGTTTCTCCACATTTGCCTCAAGCTGTTGCTGTTGGTCCTCGAACAAGTTCTGTTTTATTTCCCTTTCCTTCTCTGTCAATTCATTTTTGAAGAGATCATCGCCAAACATGTAATACGCAAATGGGTAGGAATATGAGAGAACCCGCCTTGATCTGAAGAGTCTGTAAAGCCCATTTGTTACCCAGCTGAAATCGTTGGGTTCCCTTTCTTCCAATTTTGATATTTTCAACTGTATTTTTTCCTTCAGCTGAACTTCAGCTTTCAAAGAATCTGTATGAGCTTTGTACCGATTGTGATAGTGAAGATACCGCCACAAATACTTTTTCGGGCGGTCTACGTTTTCCTCTTGGTCTTCTGTATATCGCCCACAACTGTGACCAGCAATGCTGTCCCACGTGTGTGATGCACCTGTAGGTCGAGCACACAGCCAACTGAAAAAAGAGAAGAGAAACAAGAAAATCAAACAAGCAGCCATATGTAACAATAACTGCCTAGCGACTACACTAGTATTTTTTTTATATACAAAAATGAATATAAATTAATATTGCAGATATTAGGAGAATGGTTTCTTAGGCCATAATAAACTAAAGTAGAATATAGCAATGCAGTTGCTCTAGAAATACGTCTACCAAAAGAAGGGGAAGAAGCAACAATGAATAAAATCATGAACAAAAAATGAAATCAATTGTAAGCCATTTATATGAGTAATTTGAATGTACTTCAACCCCCAGATAATAATGCAGAACCAAAACATCACAAGAAGCAGCACAATAACAAATCAACCAGGTCAAAATTTGATATTTTGCTAAGGATTGGCAAGCAATAGACTTCTATGACACATACTGTACGAGAAATGCATGAAAAGAGAGAAGGAAAATACTCAAATTCTCACCAAAAATATTGCCCACAGATACAAGTTACTAGGTTGCATCCTCCATTCTTCTCCACCAGTTTGTGACAATAAGGGCAGGGTTTTGTGTGGACTGTAATCCAATTAACTGTCTCAGATTCATTCTGGCACTTGCAAATCCAAAGCTCCCACATCAGACATGAACAAGGTGAGTGCGCTTCTGATGAACAACTAAAACAGAATTGCATCCCGCAGGCACATTCAACCTCACAATATTTGTCGTGCTCAACACGGATTGCATTTCCACAATGGGGAACACTAGGGCACCATTTTACCCTACTATTATCATCGATGTAAGATTCTAGGAGAAAACGATCAAATTTCTCTGCCAGGTCAGGATGCCTTGCACAGACTAGATTTCTAATCTTTCCTTCATCACAGATTGCATTGCACTTGTGAGCCATGCACGTAATCCGTTTACTCTGACCTTCATTTATCTTGACAATAAAGTGCTCCGTCCAACCTTAAAAAAGAGAAGCAGTGAACCACTTAGATCCGGTTTTGAAATAAGTGAGGTAACATAATACCCCTAAAAATAAGAAAGGACAAAACTTGAGAAGGATAACGTCAAGTTCAGTATAAACCTACTTACTGCAGTGTATGATTGATGCCTTAAAAAGGGCCTGTACACTACAAACTTCAAAAGGCTCAAAAGAAAGAGTATTGACCCACAACTTTAAGCCATCACTCTCTCCATGAGGCAGAGTTAGCAACCATGTCAGAATTACAGCTAGAAACTTAAGAGTGGTTTGGGATGACCTAAATAAGTGTAATTTTTGATTTTTTATGAAATATGGGTTGGGTATGGGTTGGGTATGAAGTGATGTGGTAGAGAGGTGATATGACTTAAATAAGATGATGTGACTTAAATATGATAGCGACTTTTTGACTTTTTTAAGAGATGACAAACAAGGCCTTAACCCTGCCCATCACTTCCATCCTTGGTCATTTGCTTAAGGACAATCTAGGTTCTCTTATACAATTTTTATTTATTTATTTATTTATTTTTTAATTCACAAGCAATATTTTTCTCACTTGATTAGATAATTTAGATTTACCAGTAGTATTTTAAGAGGTTGGGTTGTCCTTTTTATAATCTAAAAAAGAAGAGTATATTGAGCAACTGTAAATTGGCCAAATTAGTAATGAAACGCCATAAAACAGACAAAGGACAGAAGACTCATTCCTCTAAGTACATCTTAAGTCAAATAGTATAGCTTGTAGAATTATAGTTTTTATTAAAGATCGACTGTGATAGTTATGTCTACCAATAAGATTTATGCAATAAGAAGAGAAGAGAAACAAGTAGCAAAGTGCTCACAATCATTGCAAAAAAAATGGCCACAATCCATTGTTGTCGTCTCATTGACAGGTAGTTCGTCCATGCAAACGTCACACATTAATTCAGATGAAGAATGCAGTAAGCTATTATCCTCACTCCCCACTATTACACCCGCTTCTGTACACAATTGATCTTTCCCCTTCTCTACAAACACCGCAAAAACCTTGTCAACGTCCCAACGATAATGAATAAGTAAGGTCCGCGCATGCTGTTCCTTCAGAGACAATAAGTCCATTACATTTTGCAAATCATCCCTCTGCATAAAAGAATACGAAAAATTTACATCCATGATACAAATACATAAGGATTAGGATGCATTTAATTTGTTACAACATTTAAGCAATAAAATTTTTGAACAGAATGTCTCACCTGTGCAGCCAAAAGAGAATCTTTTGTGATTACCTGCAGAATTTGAAAGGTCACAAAACTATAATCCCTCTCTATGGCAGAACAATCAAAATAATTCATAAATCTCGTTAACTCTTCGATCAAAAAAATTTAACCAAAAAACAAAAAAACAAACTTGGGAACTAGATTACACGCATTGTTAAAACTCTAAATTTAGAACGACATTAATATATATATATATATATATATGTTAGACCCTGTTTGGGGATAGGTTATCTTTACTTTTCGTCTTCTTTTTTTTTTTTTTTTTTTTTTTTTTTTTTTGTGTAAAAAGCCAGAAAAAACAACTAAAATATAGACAAATCTCAAACCGCTCCTAAAATCAACAAAGAGAGCCCAAGGCCCATTATGAACAAAGAAATTGATGAAAATTTTAATCATAGTCAACCTTCATATTTGACCACAAAAAAGAAAGGAAAAAAATTCTCCATGATAAATCACCTACTACACTACACCCCCAAAATATCTGTTTGGTTTCCAAGAAAAGATCGACTTTTCCCAACATTACCAAACAGAGAGTATAGAAATCGAAATTCCATTACCTTGGAGGACGGACCTTTCTCGTCCGGACAAGGAAACTCAGTCTCAGGGTCTTCGAATCCAACCAAAGAGCCACCTTCATCGTCGTAATCGCCACAATAGTAATCATCGTCGGTGCTCGCATAATCCTCCATTAAATAAAATTTATACGTATATATGAATTATGTACAATACGATCAAAAGCTTCCGGCGGTGGAGATAAGAGGCGGCGCTGGATTTTCCGGCGAGATCGCGTCAAAAATGTAATCAGAGACAGAGAACTTGGCGAGGAAGCAAAAACCCAGAGAGAGAGAGAGAGAGAGAGAGAGAGAGAGGGCCAAAGGGATTGAAACTGATGAAGAGAGAGAGATACGAGGGTTTTGTTACGTAAATTAAAACTTTCAATGCTTGGGTTTATATATATACTATTTTAATTAACGTTAAATTAAAATGTTTAATTAACGTTAAATTAAAATGTGAGATTTAAATTTAGATATAATATTTTATTTTATTTATTTTTTTAATAAAAAAACAAAAAGTAATAGGGGTAAGCAGCGGATATACCGATTAGCCAAAACCGACCGAACCTAACTGATCCGTCGCATTTTGGACGGATGCGTGATGACGAGCGGACGGTTGCGGATTGATTTTCTCTAATCCGCCAATTTGGCGGACGGATGGTGGAGTTGAGGTTCGTTTGGCCGCAACCAAACTGCCAAACCGCGAGCACCCTTAGTAATTTATAAGACTTTATATTTTTAATTTGTTTAAATATTTTGTTTGTGTTTTCAATTGAAAAAAAATTTAAATATTCTGTTGAAAAAAAATTTTCAACTTGAATATATTTTTTGAATTGAAAAAAATAAACGTATTATTTATTTATATTTTTTGGTTTTTAAATCTAACTCTAAAAATAATAAATAGAAAATATTATATATGTTTGTTGATTTTTTGTTTTCAAAAACATATATAAATGTAACAATACAGAGACATACAATCTCTACTATTACTCTATTAATGGTTTTGGTCGTTTGAATTATTTTTATATTTTAAGAACCACATATTGTAATATTTTATGTGGATGAGACATGTTGTAATTGTAATATGTGGATGAGGCATGCAATGATTCTGATATTCTAAACTTTCAATCTTTCTTTTTTTGGATGAGACATGCGGTAATTGTAATGTTTTTTTAAGTTATTGACTGTAATATATATATATTTTTTTTTTTTGAGAAAGTGCACAAGTTGAACTATGTTGAAAATTTATAAAATTTCAAACCGTCAAACTGATTCATATCCATCCGCTAAATCGCTAATCTGCTCAATCCACATCCGCCAAATTGACAGACAAATAAAAATTGATTTTCTTTAATCCGTCAATCTAACAGACGAATGGCGAATTGAAAGTTTTGTGACCACAACCAACCCACGCGCCACCCCTAAAAAGTACTATATTCCAAACAAGGCTAATGTATTACGGCGAGCCGTTTGCATGCTTTTTCCTGTCGTCTTTAACGCGTTATCATTCTTCTATTAAAAATATAATAATTAAATAGATAAATTATAAATATACCTCTTAAAATTTATTTAAAATACAAATTACTTTTTATAGTTTAAAAAATTACAAATATTTTACTATTAGAATTTTTTATTTAACACAAAAAATTAAAAAGTGAAATTTCTAACTATTCACTTATATAATAATAAAATTATATGAATTATTATTAATTGAAATAAAGTTTTAATATTATTAAAAACTGTTAATTAACTTAATGATTTATTAATAAGGAGATATAATATAATTTTTAAAATTACAGGAGGTAATTTATAATTTAAGTAAATCTCAGATGATGTATTTATAATTTATCCTAATTACATCTAACATGAGACATAATGAAAATTTAAATTATTAGGAGTTGGTTTTCCTTCTATCCGTGATTAGATTCGAGGATTTTGTTAAGCTCATGAGGGTTCACTATGAGTTCCATTATGATAATCTAAATCGTTTAATGTATAGAACTCATCGAGTACTATATGTCTGTAAAATATCACATTGATCGGATATCGATAGTTACGTGATCAAATCAGTTTTGTATAAAAAAATAGACAGTAAAAAAATAACGGTTGACAGAAATCTGATCCGATGAGATAGTTATCGATATCCGATCAACGTGACCTTGCGTAAGCCTATAGTACTCGACAAGTTCCACATATTGAACGGTTCGAATTATCGAAACGGGACCCATGATGGGTTTTCACAGGTCTAACAATACCCTCTAATCCGATCACGGACTGATAGAAAGCCTAGCCCAAATTATATTTTGCCATCTATCTATGTTATAAAATTAATAAACTATTTTTTATGTGATAATAATTTTTACATAATTTTGTAGATTTAATTCTAACTAAAGCGCAATTTTATCTCCAAACTAGTAACCACCAAATTAGTAATCTCATTCTAATCAGAAAAACAAACATGGCCTTATAGTTGCCCCATTGTTTATCAATTTAAAAAATTAATTAACAATGCTTCTTTAAAAATCGACCTGAAATCAAAGGGTAAAATTATTGTCTAATATAAAATGATTCCTTTTTTTATTTTTATTTTTTATTACTTGTACTACTTTACTCTTAAATTGTATTCAACTTTGTTAATGAATATTATTAATTGGATTCAATTAACATGGTACGAGAAATTAAAGAATAAATTTTAAACAATTAAAATTACAAAAATCAAATTAACAAAAAATAAATTACAAAGATCACAAATATAAAAATCAAATTAACAAAAATAAATTACAAAGATCACAAATATAAACAAATGTAAACTCTAACGAAGAGGAGAACAGAGGATAGTATCCACTCTTATGTTATTTTTATTTTTTTATTTAAAAAATCATAAGGAAAAAGTTGCGAACAATGTAGCCCGAATGCATGGGTTAAGATCATTTTTACAATCCTAACAGCTGATTTGGTTTAGATTTTTAAGATTTATTTTTTAAAAAGTTAATTTTTTTTTAATTTTTCATATATTTTTTGTTTTCACTATTTTTTTTAATATTATAATAGTTTTTTCATTGTTTTTTTATAAATTTTTAGATACACCTAACATAAGTACATTTAAAAAATATAATATTTGTGATTTTTTTTTTAAAAATTCACTAAATACCAAAAATATATATATAAGAGAATTCAATATATTTTTCATATTATTGTGTATTTATGATTTTTTACAAATATTTTACGTTTTATATACATCTAAATAAGGTGCTTCTAAAAAAATAAAAAAATTATTTAAAATTTTAAAAATATTCACTAAAAACAAAAAATGCGAAAAACAAAAAACTTAAATTCTAATAAATTGAAACCAAACACACTGTCATTTTTTTAAACCAAAAAAGGGTTAGGGGTATAAATAAATTGAGTCAATCAAAGTAATAGGTTGTTCAAAAAATTTTTTGATAAATTTTAATAAATTTCAAAATATATACAAGTTTCCACCTTTTTTTTTTATAATATTATCTTTCAAGCTTATTCAAATGAGCTTTAATTAAAATGATTTTAAGTACATATATATTTTTATAGAGGGGAATTCCCTTTAGTCTAGATTTTGGATTAGATGGTGTTGCTTGGGCCTGTGAAGCCTATCATAGGTCTCGTTTTGACGATTCGAACCGTTTATTCTGTTGAGCATAGTGTGTATTTCATCTACAAAAAAATTTGGTCATACATTGTTCAACTTTTCACTAAAAAATAGATAACAATTGTATATTTTAAGATAAACCATACATTTTTTTAGTGAGAAACATAATAAATTGAATAAGTTATAATTATTGGACTAACGTAATTTTTGTGTAAACGAAATACACGAAGTGTCTGACAAAATAAACGGCTCGGATCATCGAAATGGGGGCCCGTGGTGGACCTTACGAGCCAAAACAACACCCTTTAGTCCAAAATCTGAACGGGAGAAAATCCACCTCCATTTTTTTGTAGTGTATATAAACTTATCGACTTGAGTGAATTACCCAATCCAAAAAAATTAAGGAACTTCAAAATGTACTTCTAATTTAGTTTATTTACTTAATAAATCAATTTCTAACAAATTCTTAACAAATTAAGTGCCTATTTGGCGTCACCTAAAAAAGATAAAAAACTAAAAAGTCACTAAAAAAGTAAAAAAATTTATACTATTCAAAATGTTTGGGTAGGAATATGAGGCTGAGTACTCAAATGGCAAAAAGACATTTTTGCCCTTCACTGACATGCACAGCTCACAGGTGTTTAAGGGGAAAAAAAGAGGGGGGGTCAAACACAAAACCAGTGCAGCTCAGTGCACTGTCTCGGGAAGTGACAACTTCACTGACATGCACGGAAAGCATGTCAGTACTCAGAAGGGTAGGAAGGTAATTTTTATATTTTATACAATATTTTAATATACATTTTTTTCGTAAAAAATCAAAAAATTATCTTGAACAGCTATTTTTTTTTCTATTTTTTTAATTAAAAAGTCAAAAAGTGCACTTATAGTTCATCCCAAACAAATTCTAAATATGAATCGACCTGGAACAACATAGCTGATTTTACAGTTTTGGGCCTAAGAGTGCGGGTGTTTGAAGTAATAACGGGCTTGCTTTATACAAGCTGGGCTAAGTATACAGTGAAGTTAATGGGCCTAAATAATAGAATAGGCTCCAAATTTATGGCGAAGAGTCTTGAGTGATGCACACGAACTACCCGAAACAAGCCACAACACAATGGTTAAAGATTGTCAGCTCTGGGGTAGCCTACAACCAAATTTTGGAAAAAAAATACTATTGAATGACACTGGAACAAGCAACCAACACAAAAAGGTAAGACTTGTGCAAATTTGTTAATTGGTTCATCCATCATCATCCACTAGGTTTGTGTTTGTTGGTCTTTTTCTGCCTGTGCTTGATTAGCTTAAAAATGCTAAAAACTTCAAAAAAATGTCTCTGAAATACTTTTTATCTATAATTTCTTTGCACATAGCACATAAACTTTCAAATGAGAGTGGGTCTTACATGTGTGGGCCACACCTTCATATGAGAGCTTCCTCTACTTTATTTATATGGACTAATAGTCATAGGACTATAATCTGAAAATGAGATAGATGGTATAGATTTAAAGTTGGTGTGATGTGGGTTATACTTATAATGATTGTATTATATAGATGTACTTTCCCAAATAATTTTCTAAGTACTTTTAACAAAACTACATGGATAGAAAGTACATAAGCTGTCACATAAAAATAGAACCCACACAACATGACAAATAAGGGCTATTTTGGAAAGATGGTTATAATCAGCTTTTTGGTTAAAAGCTGCTTATAAGCAGTTTTTTTGTGAGAAAAGAAGTGTGTTATAATCTGGGAAGTGGATTATAACCCACTTCCCAAAAGGGGCCTAAGCCTCTAATTTGTACGGGGCAATGGAAGTCATAAAATTTTTAATAACACTTCAAACTTTAAAGGATTAACAATGATATGTTTTAATTATTTGGATAAAGAGATGAATCAAAATTACTCTTTAAAGAGATTCAACTTTGCAAAGTTGCTCGTGTTACACCATTATGTTATTGAAAACAACTAAACTACTTCCAAATACCAAAAAAAAAGAAAGAAAGGGTTGATAGTTAATCACTCCTAAGCACAACAAAATCATGGTGTTTGAATATCTGTTGAGTTCAGATTCTTATTGAAAGAGCATAGCCTCAATCAGTTGATACTGGCAAACTCATCATGTAATGATAAGATTCAATCACTTTGTTCCATCTCCATTATCAAACTATTTTGACAAAAATCAGAGAAATCAGAGTTGCCAATATCTGTCCCTTCACTGTTCCTCTCTCCTAGAAAAGATGGTTTCCTCTGACTTTAAGACTTGAATCCTATAGAAATCATTGATCCGCAACTGCACCTCCCCATCTCTTAACTCGGGTTTCTGCTTCCGCAGCCTGCATTTTTTTAATCATATGAATATTTAACATTCCAATTGAACCATCATCTTGATGAACAGAACATAAATTAAGTCAAGAAAAAAGGAAATGGAGAGTAAAGAAGGGAACGGAAAACGGACTTCTCTGTTCCAGTTTCTGATAGAAGTGACGCATATTAAGATAATCGTCTGCAAGCAAATACCTCCAATCATCCCGCCCCAAATTCCCTACATATCAGAGAAAAAAGTATATACTAAGCACAAATGATCGGAAGCAGTATTTTTCGAGCAAGAAAATTTTGATTGGTTTGTATCTTACCATGACTCCAAGACTAAATGTAAATCCCAGAATTATGCCAGCAGGCAATCCGACTAAGTAATAGCAACCAATGTTGATGTATGCCACAAGAGATTGCCATCCAGCTCCAACAGCAACCCCTAAAGAGACAGAATTGAGAAAGATGAAGCATTTTATTTTTTGAACCCTTGACATCAATGTTGAACAATTGCACCAAGTAAAAAAAACAAAAAAGATAGTCCCATTGAAAGAAGCAATACTGGTTGTGGTTAAATGTGGTTATTATTACCTGATAAGACTGGTTGAAGACTGTTTAAGAGAACAGTGAATCCAAGCAAGATAGCAAGTTTGGTAGTTTCTTCAGCCACTGCATCACTGGTTGTGAAAAGATAAGGGAAATAATCTCTTGTTGCAAACACAATGGCCATGGCAACCACTCCTATTGACACTGATGTCACTGACACCACCAACACTGCAAATTTCGCTGTTCGTGCATTACCAGCCCCAAGTTCATTTGATACTCTCACACTGTAACAGCATACATATATACACAACCAAGGTAAGCACTTCATTTGATTGCTGACAAGGAAGATGAGAGATACAAGGGAGATTACCTTATGGCAGCATTAAACCCTAGTGCAATCATAGCATCCCATCCTTGAATGTTCATGCTGCACAAGTGTTTCAACAAAGTTAAAATAGCAAAAAATTATCCATTTCAATGCCATATTACACAAAGAATTAATATATGTACACTGTGTTTGTTTGGGATAAGGTCATGGGATTGGACTATCTATCATAATCAATCTCGAATTTCATGCTTGGATATAAAAGTGGGCCTCTGGATCGACAGTCTCCCTGAACTGAATATCTTAGAAACTATCGAGTCCCATAAGGGGGGGATGGAATACAAAACGAGAGGATTAAAGGGGGTCTGAATTAAGGGGTCAAAATACTAAAACACTAGAGAACTATAGTTATTATGCATGTAATCCATGTCTACTGATTCTAAAGAACTATATTAGTTTCCGGAACTAACAGTCCTATTTAAGTCAATTCAACCAAACAAACATGGCATTTGTGCACTACTTTTAAAAAAATTAGAGCTAAGGAGGTATGATATAATTCCATACCAAATAGAAATGGCATCAACTGGTATCAGAGGATTCGGCAAGCGACCTGTAATCACCACGAGTATCATCAAGTACCAGAACTCCAAGCTGCAAAATCAATCCACCCAATTACTTCAAAATCAAGAGGTGAATGTAACACACAATACCACATTAATGTGGTGATGATGATGATGATGAAAATGTTCAACAACTTGACAAACCAATAGAGGTACATATTTATTACCATAACATGACAGCAGAGGCCAAAGAAAGCTTCACAAAGCCCCACAAGTCTGCAAATGCAAGCCAAGTGAATCCACTCCAAGCACCATCAGATTTGGTGATGAAAATGTACATCAACTGTGCAATGACAATGAGCCACCACGAAGTGTTCAGAGTGATTGCTGCCCCTGTCAGACCCCATCCGAGCTTCAGTATTAAAAGCCAGCTAAAGAATGCATGTATCACCAGCACCACAGCTGATATCCAAGTCATTACAAGGACTTTCCTCTGCGCTTGCAAGAATTTCTGTATTGGAAAGTTCAATGCATATGCAAATAATTGTGGAAGCATCCATATAGCAAATTTTCCTGCACCAGAGAAATTCAATCTGAGGAATGGTCTAAAATTTTCACTTGCTACATGTTTCATAGCAATTGCATCATAAAAATAAAAAAATAAATTATTTCCATAACTTTCACTCTTTCTTTAGGGATTCACTGGCCCAGAAATCCTGTCTCCTTAGGAATGACAGAAAAACCCGAACCCGATCCGGAACTTGACTAGTGTAACACTAAAAATGTCTCAATTTGTGTATATATAATTTTCATTATTGTTTGATCATATAAATTGATTTTTGGGATTTTTTTTCTTTTCTATATATATATAAAACTTTTTCTCAACAACATTTTATTATATATTCAAAATAACTCATTACGAAAGCTGGCTTACATGAATCCATGACCAGCCCAAGCTCAAGCCCATACAGATCTATTTTTTGGGCCAAAAAGTCATGGGCAGAGCTTCGTAGGTTCGCCCAAGCCTGACCCATGCCAACCATGGAGAGAGAAGATCCATCACCATAATTTTTGTACAAGTGAAAGACGCCTCCACTCCACTTTTTTAAAACAAGACTTACTAAAAATTCACTTATGTATATTTTAAAATTCATTAATTACTTAAAGTTTTAACAAATTCGACTCAGTCATATGCATTATAATCTGTGGTTTGATTTAAATTCATTTGAGATTGGTTAAAAAATGGGTATATTACATTGATACTCTCGCAATTTTTGTTTAATACAGATCTCATCTTCAAATTTGAAAAATTACATTTCTTTTCCTAAAATTTGTAATTTCATTACAAATTGCTCCATAGATTGCTGATTTCATGCCCTAAAATTTTTTAAATGACAATTTTATCATTTTTCCTATCATTTCTTATTCTTATCATCATGACTACATTCTACAACTTTCCGTCATTAAACTCTACTACTCCCTCCGTCCCAAAATAATGGTCCCTTTTGGGGAATCCAACTTTTTTTGGTAGTACAATTATTGTACTTTTAAAAATTTGATTTTCCAAAATTACCCTTTGATAGTACATTTTTTTGGGAATATCAATGTCATAATTGTACTTTTTATATTATTTATGAATTTAAAAGAAGGACAAAATGGGAAATTTATATTATTTTTGTACTTGATTTTTAAAGAGGGACTAATATTTTGGGACAATGAAAAATGGAATAAGGGACTAATATTATGGGACGGAGGGAGTACAACATATTCTTATTAAGTAATGATATACAAACATAAATTTTATATAGAATTTTCAAACACAATGATATAGTTTAATGGTGATATTTCACTTTAAAATAGAACACCCATAAACATGATTTATATTTACAACAATAGCATTATCACAATATTTTTATGATATTTTTTGTATAAATTTTTATATAGGAATATAATTTTTCATTTTTATTTCCACATTATATCTAGATTAGATCAATTTAATCTAAATATATTTAAAAAGTATAAAATTTTTTAAAAAAACTTAAAAAAATATCTATTGAATGCAACAAAATAATATAATGTATTGAATTTTTATATTTTTGTATTTTTTTTTTTTAAAAAAAAAATCACAAAATATTATACTTATTAAAGTATATTTAGTTTAGGTGTATCTAAAAAATATAAAAATTCAGTAAAAATAAAAAAAACTTAATTTTTTATGTGAGTTAAACTAAAAAAAATGATTGTTATTTTTCTTTAAATGATATGGACAAAATATCTGTATTATTTTATTATTTTGTAAGTGTAAAGCTTAAGAGGCAAATATGTTATTTTAATCTAACATGATGATAAGTATAATTTTTCAAATGTAAAAAGGATCTATAATGAATAGATATCTCAAGGGTGTCAATGTAATTTATCTTTAAAAAGTTAAACAAGTCATACTTAAATATACATCGGTGATATCTTTTAAGTTAAATTTGAAGTATATACTCCTCTACTCCATATCACATTACAATATACTAAATAAACAAGAGAGAGAGAGAGAGAGATTCGACCTGCGGCTTCAGAAATCTCGGTGGTCTCTCCAATGGCCTCAAGAATGGGAGGAGAGAAGACATAGATGGGAACCAAAAAACAAGCAGTGGTCAACAAGATGACCCATGATCTTTGCATATACACCCCTAACATTCTCATCTGTCCTGCACCATATGCTTGCCCACATAGTGTCTCTAAAGCACTCCCCATTCCCAACTAAATCCAACCAAAAAAACATCATCAGTCATAAATAATTCTCAAAGCTGTCCACCCATTGTAAATATGTCACATAATTTTTTTTTCCACCCTCATAAGCCACGACTTTAAACAACAATTCTTGATACACAAAAAAATGAAGGTCGGTATGAAAATAAATTCTATAAAGCGTATTTGTTCACGCATACAAAATTATCATATAGATATACCATTGAAAGTAATGCACATGGAACATTCTTGAAATTATAAATTTAAGTAATTGCTTTTTTCTGTAAATACGTCAACACCCGAACAGGACAAAAAAGTATAAAAATTAGTTTTATAAAATAAGACACATATATGAGATAATGATTGGATCCACGTTTGTAGAGTAACTCACTCTTTATCTTATATTTATATTTTATTTTATGATTTTTTTTTTGGTACTTCTAACACTATTTTAAAAAAATATTGAAAAGACGATATTTTATTCAATAATACTAGACATTAAAAATAAGTACATATTTATTTATTTTTTAATATATATATTTTTGGATACAATGTTATGCGTATTCTCACAATAATAATTAATTGTCATCATGTTATTAAGCAAAATGTTGACAAAAATATGATAGGTCTTCCAAATAAAAATAAATAAAAATGATAGTTCCTTTGTGTAAATTAATCACATCCAATGACGATACCTAAAAATTGCTCCGAAAAAAAAAATTGAAAAAAAAGCTTTATCAGCCAATTTATGCTACAGTGTATCTGGATCTTGAATGTGCACTTTTGGTACTTGAGGGTGCAATGCATATTAGTTCAAAAAAAGAAAGGCTGCAATGTACATAAATTAATCAATAATACTTAAAAATATATCAAGAAAAATAATCTTCGGGCTCGAGATGCTTTGTAATACATAAGTTAAATTTAAAGCATATAATAATTTGTTAGGATAAATTTTCTTTTTGCACATATCTTTTTTTTAAGAACAATGCTATACATTATTTTATTTTTTATTTTATTTACTTACTTTTTAGACATAAAATAATGGGACACATCGATATATCTATATGAGATTCATTCACTTATATTTAGGAGTGAGAAAAAAGATATAAGAAAAAAAATTATGAGCATTGCTATTCAATTATAAAAATTAGATCCATTTTTCAAGCACAATAATCAATCAACCAATTATTTCATTTACAGATCATTGAGTCTAAAAAATATATTTGTATATCATTTTTCTTTCTAAAATTATTATGTACAAGAGGGACTAGTCTCATCAAGTCTGTGATCAATTTCTGTAGTTTTAATACAACTCTCTCACCTAATCTCAAATCCACGAGGAATCTATTTGGTTCATCGATTTCTGTCTTGCTAGTTTTTTTTCCTAGCCATATTACGAATTAGATTTAATTATTTAAAAATTATTCAAAGTTATTATATTATGATTCAAATTTATTCTATATACACACCTCACCTCATACTAGGAAAATCTGAGTAGTGTTGCCTGACTTCCAGAATGTTTTTTTTGTTTCCTTTTTTGGAAAAAATGTTAAAAGCTTACCATGACACCAAAAGCGAGACCGGCAATAACAGAGTTTTCGACAGAAACAGCAGCGAGATTGATCTCGCTGACGAGACCAGCGAAAGTCTGGGTGAGAGCGCCGAGCGAGTACTGACATAAGGCGGTCAAAATGGCCGGTCCAGCAAGATGCCAGAGCTTCTTGGACTCGACTCGGAACTGCTTTAAAAAGCTCAACGGTTTCTCTTCCTCCCCATGCTCCTGCCCGTTATTCAGCAGAAGTGGTGTCGTCACAGGCCCCATTATTCCGCACACTTCTTTGCTATCCCCCCTAATTGATTTCACTTCTTCTTCTTCTTCTTCTTCTATTATCTAAATTTATATCGAATTGGGTTTAGTTGGGTTGTATTGGCGATCGGTGATTCTTCGGGATCAGGTCGGTATACAGAGATATAGCTGATCAAGGTCAAAAGTTTGAAAGGTTGTTAACTGTTTTTTGAGCGGCTTTGGACTGGTGATGACTGGTGAGTGAGTGAGTTGTGATAGTCACGAGCCATTTCATGGTTGGATTTTCTGTGAATCAGAATATGGTGTTTGCTATGACACCATATGGCTCCAAAAAAAAAAAAATGATGTGTGTGACTCTAACTGATTTTTCTGTTGTATAAAAACGTGTTTTTTTTGTTTCTTTTGTTACGTTATGTAGAAACTACTCTTAATGGCTAGAGGGTACACAGCAAGCCATGACACTGTAGTAATGTTTTAAAAGTTGAATTGGTGAACGAATTAAAAAAGAATTAAGTGAATAGGTTATCGATTTAACTATCAAATTGAATCGAAATCAAATCACCTTGTAAATTTTTCCACTGCAATGAATTATTTCTCCCAACCGACTAGGAGGAGAAGCCCAATTCGAGAAGAATCTAGTCGAATGTAGAAAATGCCTTGATTTTCTCATTAGGAGATTTTTCCGTTAAATAAAGCAAAGGTAATTTTAATTTCAATAGAAACTGATTCATAAAACAATTAATTTTGAATAAATTACAAATACACTTCATGAGATTTGATTAAAATACAAATTATTTTTTGTGATTTTAAAAATTACATTCCAAATCACCTAAGATTTTTAATTTCATAACAAATTAGCCATTTTATTGATAAATCATAAAGTCAATTAACAGTTTTTAATGATATTAAAAATATATTTCAATTAACAATTTAGATAATTTTATTATTGTATAGGAGAGCAATTATGAAATTCAAATTTTTAGTTAATTCTGTTAAATAATTTTTTTTGACAATGGAATATTTGTAATTTTTCAAATCACAGGAAGTAATTTATACTTTAAGCAAATCTCAAAGGGTGTATTTGTAATTTATCAATTAATTTTTTTGTACTAATGTTAAATCCTAAATTTATTTTTAAGTTTCAAAAAAAACAAATAAAATAAAAAAAGGCTTGTGGCATTTCTGAAATATGGGGGTGAAGAAGAAGATAACAATTGACCCATAGTTCTATCAAGACTTTCTTAATACTCACAAGTTTCTTCCCATTTTGACTTTAAAAACTATCTAATTACAGAGCATATCACAGATTCACATATAAGCCACAAAAGATCAAACCATTAACATTTCCCATTTGATTTAAACAGAGAAAATCAATAATATATTTAACTGAAAACAGGGCATTTATATATATATATATATATGGTTTAAGTGACATTATTCCTCAAGAATCAAGAGGAGGAATGCTTTGCAGAATCACCTTAACTAAATCCAAAAAAAAACAAAACTAAACAAGCTAATCTCTTCAAGAATCAAATTCCTAATGTGACAAAAAACAAAAAAATTGACAGGTAGGAAAGCAACGTCGGTAGCAGCTAACTAATTACTCAGCCTGGCGTTGACAAGAAAGAATAGTAGTTGTATAATCACCATATATATATATATATATATATTTAAATCTTAAAAGCAATTTGTTTATCTTTTCGAATTAAAGAAAAAAGTTAGTTCTACAGACCAAGTTAGTAAAGGGTTTGAATTTATGTGAACATAGAAAATAGTGGGAAGGGTGGAAAGGTAGATCAGTATAACTAACAGACAGAGTGTACTATTGTGTGTACTGAGAGCTTTAATGACGAGTGGCAATACAGATTTTTTATCTGGTGGGTCGTTCATGGTTGGACTGGAGTTCACAGTATATAGTGAACCTAAAATTTGAGAAAGAATTGTAATTTTTATTAACAGAGTATTCTTTCTTCAAGGGGACTACATAACACATGATGCCTAAAAATACATCACTATGTAAATGAATTTTCAACGTTTATTTGCGTTGATCCCACAAAAATAGATGAGTCGTGACGTGTCTCTAATCTTTTTGGGTGCTTTTTTAGTAAATCCATTATCTAAGAGTGTTGTTCCATAAAATTCATAGTGTTTTATAATATTCCATTAGGTCCATTTCATACAAAAAGACCAAAAAATCCCTCAAAAAAACACGCGTCTCTCTCTCTCTCTCTTTGAATCTAATAACCGTCTCTCTTCCCCTCTCTATTCTTGCGCAGGAAATCACGCACAGTACCTCTACAGTCCAGAAATCCAAAACCATATTCCACATCGCCTCAACGCCCAGAAGACTGTATTCCTTCCATTGTTGCATCGTCGCATCGTCTCATCATCTTCTCCGTCGTCCCTACGCCGAGAAGACTGTCTTCGTTCCATCGTCACATCGTCTCATCATCTTCTTCGTCGTTCGTACGCCCAGAAAACTGTATACGTTCCTTCGTCGCATCGTCCCTTCGTCTTAACATCTTTGTCGTCGAAATGGGCAAAAAACGTAAGCATTCTACCCATTCGTGTAGTTAAACCCTAAACCTCTTTATCAACAACCAACATTGTGAACTTTTACAAATATTCCCTTTTCCTATGCATACAATATATAGGAGTCCATATTGTTCATACCCTAACATTTATTTTGAACCCCTCAATCGTAATCCCTAATTTTATTGATTTTTGTAGTAAAAAACATTACAGTTGCCGTTAAATTGTGTCCACAACTGTGAACATTCGAAAATGTTTTGGTTGTAGTTGTTGTTATTGAAAGCTGTGAACATTCACATTGATTGAAAATGGTTTGATAATCAAATTATTCCAGATGTTATTCGGTTGTTGTTCAATACTGTGAACATTCACATGGTTTCAAAAATGTTTTGGCCAATTTTGTTTTGTTGCTGTTGATAAAAGATGTGAACATTCACATTGAGTTAAAATGTTTGGGTAATCAGGTATTAATGGTGTTGTTGTTGTATACTATGAAAATTCACATGCATTGACACTCTTTGGCCAATTCTGTTGTTGTTCTTGTTGTTGAAAGATGTGAACATTCACATTGCCTGAAAATTTTAGGACAATCAGATATTATTGGTTTATTTTGTTCTAGGTCGTGAACATTCGCATTGCCTGAAAATTTTAGGAGATTCAGATATTATTGGTGCTGTTGTTCTATGCTGTGAACATTCACATTGGCTGAAAACTTTAGGACAATCAGATATTATTGGTGTTGTTCTTCTATGCTGTGAACATTCACACTGCCTGAAAATTTTATATGTTTGTGTTAACATCCACATGTTCTTCAATGGTGTTCATGGTTGTATAAAAATACATTGTTTTCCACACACTGACACAATATGTACATTGTGTTTGTCCTGACACAGTCAACATACACATTCATATACAGATGTGAATGTTCACAACCATACACAAACTCTGGTGATTCACACCCACGCACACAACTGTGAACATGCACATCAGTGGAAATGCTGTGAATGTTCACATCTGTTCCACTATGCTAATCATATGAGCCTTCACTTAATTTTTTTTAAATGCTCCATTTTGCAGATGTCGCACAAAAGAAAACCGCAAAGAGAAAAAGAGATGAGTACCATGTGAAGGAAGAAACCCCACAAACAAATACTTGCACCAATGTTGACATGGCCATGTGAACTACAGATCTAATATGACCGGACTGGTCAAATTAATGAAAACCACCAAGTTCACACAAGCACAGCTTCGGTGCCTTCAACAAACACCTTTTTGGAATTTGTTTGATGCATTGAGAAACAATCAGATCGACCTTGACAAATGTATGAAGTATGATGATGTTGTTGTGCATGTATTACAAATGTACAAAGCTTCAAAAGATGCATTCTACATTGGGGAGAAGAAGATGAATATACACAACAACGACATCAAGTTGATTTTTGGTGTGGACTGTGGCAGCAAGCCGATGGACATATCATATGGTGCGAAACCAAAGACTGGCATTGTAAACAAAAGATGCAAAAACGTCAGCCGGTTGACTTCAAAATGGATACGCACCCTTTTGACCGAGGCATTGAAAGGCAAAAAGAAAGATGACAACGAAGAAGTTGCCCGACTACTGTGCATGTATGTTTGCCAAAAGCTTTTTTTCTCAACAAGCGGAGAGACAATAAGATGGGGCTGCTACGCACATATGGTCCCATTGGAAAGCATGCAAGAATATGATTGGGCCAAGCAAATTAGGACAACGTTGACATCGTCTATTTCCCAAAATGACAAAAATCCAGCAAAAGTCACCGGCTGTGCCATGTTATTGATGGTAAGTACCCATGTTGTCAAATAATAACATTCACATGTCCTCCAGTGTTGTTCATCTAAGCCAACTGTGAGCATTGACATCTGTACCACTGATATGAATGTCCATAGGCAATTATATTTCACAGATGTGAATGTTCACATCTGAATCACTGATGCAAATGTTCACATTCACTCATAATATACTATTGTGAATGTTCACAACAGTGCCATTGATGTGAATGTTCACATATGAATCACTGATGCGAATGTCCACATTCACTCATAATATACTACTATGAATGTTCACAACATTGCTCCATAGGCAATTATGATTCACAAATGTGAATGTTCACATCTAAAGCACTGATGTGAATGATCACATTCACTCATAACATACTACTGTGCATGTTCACAACAGTGCCACATCACTTATGTTTCACAGATGTGAATGTTCACATCTGAACCACTGATGTGAATGTTCATATTCAATGATAATGTACTACTGGGATGTTCACAACAGTGCCACTGTGATTAATATTCACATATGTTGTCATTACTATGCAAATGCTAAATAACAATATGCGTTTTTTGTTTTATTGAAGTACTGGTTGTGTGAGCACACAACCATTCTACAACCTCACAAACCCAATGCTTTTCCTCGCTGTGTGAAGTGGGATCTGACTGCTTTACAGAAGAAGATGAAAACCACCTTTTTAGCTGATTTGGGTTTTAATGAGGTAGGGCCTTCAACTACTGATCAAAACATTCACATTATAACACCACCCAAATATATACGTTAAGTAACATATTTTTTTCATT